TAAATGGCTGGCTTAAGACGGTGATCTCGGCGATAAGGGTTCGGAATATCTGCTCCTCTGTCTTATCCTGCTTGTAGTACGTTTTGAAGGCAAAACTCGTGTTCAGGTTCACAAGAGTCTGATGGATCCTGGAAGTTCCACCAGCGCCTATATCTCCGCTTGCATCCCAGGCAATGGGTAGAAATTCAATTTCCAACGCCTGAACCGTGGCGAGAAAGGATAGGAAATTAAATCTGTCTGGCTCCGCCTCGACATCAGACACCTCCGCACCCGATGTAGATTGCCAATGCAAATCATAAGAGGCTCTATAGTAGGATGGCATTGTTTATGGTGGTAGCAACAATTTTGCCGGTGGTACTTCAAGTGTCAGGCTTCGTAAGTTGTAGGACTAGGCGATAAAATTCATTGTAGAGAACAGAGTGCCAGTATGTAGGGCGTCGGGCAGGCATTGGGCTCCATTGGCAGCAGACACGTAAGTCAACCACGTGACAAGTACCACGGGACTCAGTAAGGGTTACCACATTATAGAGTGCTCATTGCTTGTACGGCGCAGTAAATATACCGTATAGCTAGAAACTAGTTGCTCTATTGAATACTGTTCTGTTTAACAGGCTCTTCACACTATTCCATCACTGCAATTCGATCTATGACCGCCATTTTGAACCACCTACATCAGGACGCCCAACTACTTATACCCGTAGCTGAATACTGCACCGCGGGTTCTCGAAAAATGCTGATAGCCGCACTTTTTATGTGTGGGCAATGACTAATGACAAAGGGGAGTTCCATTTGTATTATAGCTAGAAAAGACAATGCATATTTGACAAAAAAAAGGCTTTGCCCTGATGACTCACGTCAGCGCATCTGACTATCCACTTCCCATCACAATCTAGCCCTAGGTAGACCTTTCTCTAGAATGAAAAGGAACAACGCAGTAACCACCAAGAGTGGAATTGTAATTGCGAAATAAAGACCAACATATGATCTGTTACCAGAACCGCCGAATACCGTAGAGCTAAAGATTGACTGTCTCAATTATTAGTTACACCTCCACGTGGCAATCTCTAGATACACTGACGGCTATGAGTGATGCTGGAAGGAACATCGTTGCTGTTTGAGCAAGGATCTTGACAATAGTAGCATCTTTGACACCCTCGCTCGAGAGCTTCAGTAGATTGGTCGTATCCTGGCAGGTTTGTTGAGATTGCAGCTGCAGGCTAACGATGCTAGTATGCATGATAGCTACGGAAGCCTGCAGCTTATCGTTCGCTCGACTTCGTAGTATTGCGTAAAGCTATCGTGACTTTAGTCAAAAGGCAAGAACTTCGGGGCTCGAATACACCGTACCAATTGTGTCGTCATAGATGATGTCCTTGCCAAATTAACCAATTCATTGTAATGATGTTGCAGGTCTGCTTTGAGCATCTCTAGCGTATTTACCGTACCACAGTCGCATTGCCCCGACAACCCTTTGTGTAACACGATATGCAGGTCAGCACATTTGGATAGTACGTCTCGCTGCCCTGTGATTATGGTCTTCGCCAGTGAGAGCGTGTCGCTCAGCGATGCCAGCTTCTGGATGTCTTTGAAGAGAATAGCATAGTCGTCCAAGCAAACTGTATCGACAGAAGATGAGTATGCTTTTTCCTCCTATTGCTGGTTGGTCAGAAGGAAAGAGCTGGACGAAATTAGTCTCATCTTACAAGTGTCAACACCGTTTGGCGCAGCGATTTAATATATGGCCCCCAGTTCCTTGTCGCTGCGGACAAAATGAATAAGTGCGGTTGAAGAGACAATACATCACAATGATGGTTCGCTTCAACGCTCTCGGCTTTGAGTGCCTTCGATACGCGGTCTGTCACGTAGTTGGAGTAGTTGAGCAGAAACCATACTGATTGCTGGCTTGATAACCGTTTCTGATACACGCCGGTCTGCCTGAGGGACCATGGATTACCGCGCTGCCGTCCATTAAGCTCGAAATAGCGAATATTGTAACAGAATTCTTTTTACCCTGTCAATATAGCATAGCCACCAAAACATCTCTGGCACCAACCCACCGTAAATGGAGGACGGCTCGACGCGATAGTATAGGCAGTCTTTTGTCCGTTGCTTGTCATTCGTTTTCGCGCCGAAGGCAGGAACAAGACGCAGGAATGGAGTGAATATCTGCAAATCAGCTAGTACTGTTCGAAATGCTGGTTCAGTGATAGAGAGTTGACTCCACGAGAAGGCTGAATGCGCGATGCTGCAATAAGTCAGTGTATGAAGATTTTCGGAGGCGTTTGGTACCCACAAGATCAAATGCTGCCATCTGCTTCCCCGCAAAAACTTCCGCGCTACCATTAGCTTGGTCGCAGACAATGGAAACAGTCGAGGGCGTCCTCACCTGTTGAATTCCTTTCGTTACAATGTCGCCACTTGTTACAAAATACTGCCGGGGAGGCGTTTGTGCAAGCCCTTCTCGATGTTAACTGTTAACCCATGTGGAAGATTTTGCGGATCCGTTACTCACCATTATCTTGTGCCGAACATAGAACATCAACACCACCTCCCGCAGTCTGAAACAATGTAGACGACTCTTTACGTAGCACGTCATACCAGAAATCTCGGTCCTCTCCGCTTGGCATGTAACAGTCTGTATTTATTAAACATGTCTCGCCCATGGAACGGTTATCCTTGCATTTAATGGGTTCCATTAGGATGAAGAGCCTGGATGATGGCGAAGTGCGCGACTGGGGTGGCGAGCAGACGACCTGAAGCAATATAATAGCCAGCACCTCACAATGGGGTAAAAACATGTGGCAAATCCGGGTTAGCCACGTGCCGTTAGATGAGAAGTGAGGCGGTGTGACGTGGAGGACAACTATTGGTGTTTGCTGCGGGGTTAGGCCGCCTCCATAATGGGCGGGGTTTGGCTCGATCTTTGTGCTGGGAGCCTGACTATGAAATAACCCGACAAAGTCTGTGATTTATCGCGCGCAATTCTGTTTCCATTTTTCTGAGATTCACAGCATGGCACCACAGACGATTGCAAATCGTTACATTAAGCTTGAAGACCTACGAAGTCTGCTTTTTAGAAAATTTGGCGCGGGCAATTTCACAATTCAAGTAGGCCTGCACCGCTACAAGGAGTATTCTGTTACTGACCTTGACGCCTTCCGATATAGGAGAATGATGAAGACTACAAAATAAGCGTGCCTATTCTTTTGACAGACGTGCGTACCTGATATGAAACCGCGAAGCGAAAATCTGTACTCACATAACTAGAGCGAGATCCAGTCTATTCAAGCCATATGAATTTTGAGACCATATAATAATCTATACAGTGGGTTACTCGGATAAATTCATTGAAATACGTGAGTGTGCTACTGACGAGACTGCAGCCAGTATGGAGGAGCTTAAAGACGGCATAGACCGTATATATTTTGGAAACGAAAACTTTGAAGGCGACCATTTCGTCCCGGAAGCCGCGCTGCTCGATCTTGTCTGCGAGTCGCTTGTCAAACAGTCGCTACTTGAGATCCAGACCCCGGCCCAGGAAATTGTATACTTAACCGACTCTATTTTGCGAGGAGCGCGAAAATGTTTCGCGATTTTAGTCCTGATTGGCCGCAGCGCAGCTATTTCCCGCTTCTTCCAGCGTGACTTTTTGCAACGATCTTGTCCTGATGACCGGCTACCATACACCTCAGAAACACTACAAAGAATATTCGAGAAAGAGACGACATGTCTAACGGTTAAGCGATTTCTTGAAAAGCAATGGATGTTCGTTATTCCCGTCTTACAGCCGCACATGATCTCGCGTACGCTCGACAAAGGAATTATACTTCCTTTCCTCAGCGAAGAGGCTGCTGGTCGTGGATCAATGGGTACCGCCTGGAAGATGAAACTGCACCCCGATTGCCATCAGCTGCCGTTGGACGGGGACATAGTCAGTACTTGAATCCACCATGATGACAGAAATAACAGTATCTCTGATATGAATACTATGTTGTAGGTTATACGAAAGCAAATCGAATGTGGAAGAGACGGTGACATGGCCATCTTCGAAAAAGAACTGGAAAATCTGTCCCTTCTTACCCATTTGAACCACCCGAACATCGTTCAGTTGTATTGCTCTTATATGTACAGGGACAGATATAATCTTATATTTGCTTTTGCCGATGGTGGATCGCTAACAGATCTTTTGAACGGAAAAGACGACACAAAAGGGCCAGAGGGTTCACAATTGTGGCTGGCATTTGCAAACCTAGCTTCGGCGATTGACGCATTGCACAACTTCACCTCGGAACTCCTTGATCTCAACTTGTCCGGATGCCACCACGATCTTGCTCCTCGGAATATCTTGATCCATGGCAAGACATTCCTACTTGCGGACTTTGGCCTATCCAGTTTTAGGAGCGCAGACGAAGATTCTTTGACTACTTTCAAAGAAGTTCGTGGCTCTTACGTAGCGCCAGAGTGCCAAACCTTGGATGACAACCAAATCAAGTCTGAAAAGGTTAACAGAGCTAGCGACATATGGTCTTTTGGCTGTATTCTCTCGGAAGTACTGACACATAGTATACTAGGGCCTAACGGCGTGGAGCAGTTTCGATCCAAGAGGAAAGTTCAAGTAGCCTCTGGCATTGAATGGTTTCGTTTTCATTGTGGGCCGGGCAGGCCAAACCCTGGAGTAGAGTGTTGGCTGGAAAACTTACAAGCAGATGCCGGGCCAGTCTCTGCACGGTTGGTTGATTTGGTTCGCGAGATGCTTTCAATAGAACCGAGCCAACGCCCTAACTCGGCCCGAGTATTGACCATACTCCGCGCCATATCGATCCTATCTTTTGCTAGCGCTGTTAACGCAGCCCTGGACAATTTTCCCGATACGACCCGCAAAAGTATCGATCGCATGCTAGATGAAATGCGGTTCCGCAGCTGGTACTTCGCATTTCACCGACTGCTCGATGAATTACACCAAAGCAAGCTCGACAAGCTTGAACTCGACTTTTCCAAGACAATCCAAGCGTTAGAAGAGCTACACTACATCTCGGAAGGTAGCATAGGCGCAGGGCAACCACGGCGACGAACTTTTCTTCAATATTATCACTCGAGATTACTTGAGGCGCTTCCACCACACTATCGCTCTTTTGCCAAGGAGCGAATGGTGGAGCTTGTCTTGGAGAGCGAAGATGTCACACAATTACACGGGCTGTCCGAGGCAGTCACCGACGCAGGTGACGAAGACATCGGGACTTTAGTAGCGGTCAAGCGCCTCACCATCATGTCTAATGACGGCTCTCTAATCGAGGATAAGGATCTAATCCTGGACGAAAACGATGTCAATTTGAGCGTTGATATTGACATCCACAGCTGCGCAGTGCTGCAGAACACGTCCGATAAGGTACTGGTCGAGTGGCTGCGATACAGGGATGTGTGGGCCGACGAAGAGATCGGAAAGGAGCTTCGCCGCCGATTATCATCTGTAGTCAGCCTGCTCCACGCTGAAAGCACAGCGAGGATTCCTGGCAGCCTATTTTGCAAAGGCATATTCCATGATCCTTCACGCCATGCTTTTGGCGTTGTCTACGATATTCCAAATACGGGAATGCCAGTTACCTTGCACCAGCTACTCAAGGCACCTAAAGGCATGTATCGTCCTCTCCTTGAGCAGCGGTTTCGCCTGGCTGCGGACATTTGCCGGTGTATTTACAAATTTCACCAAGTGGGACGGCTGCATCGTAATCTCCACTCGATGAATGTGCTATTCTTCCCACGGGAAAAGACTGAAAACGCCAAATGGGCTACAGAACCGCGGATTCTGGGTTTCGCCAGCAGCCGCGAAAACGACTCTGATGCTTTCACATGTGGACCAGATGATATCGGTCAACTCCGGAACTACCAACATCCGGAGTATCTTGCCCACAGGGACCGCTACCGAGAGGAGTTTGATTACTATTCCGTGGGTATGATCCTACTGGAAATCGGTCTCTGGAATACACTTTCGAAGATTACCGAGTCACCGCGTTTCCAGAACACATCAGACGAGAAGTTCTGCACGGAAGTTATCAGGAGTAGAGTCTCCCAACTTGGCGTCGCGATGGGAACAAGCTATATGGAAGCAGCCCTCGCATGTGTGGAGGGAGGAATTTCAGACGGGCCTGGGCCGTCGCTGTGGGTAGAGCGCCGTGGATGTAGGTGGTTTAAAATGGCAGTTATAGACCGAATTCCGGTGATGAAATAGCACAAATGGTCTTTCCAGACGGAGAAGTATTCAATAAAACAACTATTGCTACTTATACCTATATTACGGCGCCGCACAAGCAAGTACTCATGATTATGGCAAACTTTGCTGAGTGTCATCAGCTTTCGACTGCCGTGTCCTCAGTCCCTTGATATATGTCACGTGGCCGACTGCCGGCCTGTCCAATAGGAGCCCAACATATGCCCAACTCGTCACTGGCAACGTGTTCGCTGCAAAGAACTTTATCGCCCAATTTTGCAACCACTGATACCTTACGCTTTAAGTGCCACTTATAGAATTGTTGTTACCCACTATAAACAATGTCTTCCGACTTCAGAGACTCTTATTGGTTGCATTGGCAGTCTGCATCAGGTGCGGAGATATCTAAAATCGAGGCCGATCCAGACCGATTCAATTTCCTGTCCTTTCTCGCCACGGCCCAGGCGTTAGAAATTGAATTTCTACCCATTGCCTGGGATGCAAGCGGAGCGATTGGCACCGGTGGAACGGCTAGCATTCATCAGACACCTGTAAACCTGGACACAAGTTTTGCCTTCAAAACCTACCGCAAACAGCACAAGACAGAGGAGCAGATATTCCGAACGCTGATCGCCGAGATCACCATCTTATGCCAGCCATTCATACGGGAGCATGCCAACATCGCGCAGCTACATGGGATCTGCTGGGACATCTCTCTTGACAACGACAAGCCATGGCCGGTTCTAGTCTTTGAGAAATCGCATCTAGGGGACTCATATCACTTCGTGAGGCATGGGGGGCAGGATATGACACCCGAAGAGCGACTCTCGCTTTGTGTGGATATCGGAAGAGCGATCATCGACATGCATTCAAAGCGTAAGCCTGGCCCCACTATCGAAAGATGAGTCGCGCTAAAACAGACTGAAGACATTGTACATGGGGATTTGAAGCCAGAGAATATCCTAGTCTTCAAAGACAATATCGGTAGCAAAAGATACAGCGCAAGGGCCATAGACTTCGGCTACTCTACAAAATACGCCTATGAAGACCAGTCGCTCATTCTGCCGATATCGGAGCCGTGGAATGCGCCAGAAAACAGCGGTCGGGTTCATCGGTGGACCCCCAAGCAGGCCGTGAAAGCGGACCTGTTTTGTTTTGGTGTGCTGTGCGTCTGGCTGCTCTTCGAGCCGCTCCTCCGCGGAACAGCAGCATTATCTCAGAGTGTAGAGGGGTCTATCGACACGCTGCGATGGATGAAGGGGAAACTTCTAATATATGCTCAGCAACTGTTAAAGTCGGAGACAGTCTTGGGAGCCGATATAAAGACAGCTATAAGCGAATTCTTTAATTCGAGTTTAAGTCAGGATCCAGAGAGCCGAGAAATCGATTGCATACAGCGGTTTCTCTCGAAGTTAGACCCGCAATGGTAAGCTTCCCCGCTTAGGCAATTCCAAAGCTAACAACGGAGAAGGAAAAATGGCCAGGCAACGGCCGTAACGAATTCTGATCCTTGTGATCTGAGCAATCCTAGCCATCGTTTTGATGTAAAGTCCAGTTATCCTATTAGACAACCCCCCCTCTAACGTCTTGTAGATAAACAAATCGATTTACGACTTCTATCAGTGTGACTATCGAGTTCGGTCGCATATAGCTCGGTGCCTCCTAAACAAGAGTCCTCGATCGGCAGCTTGTGATCTACAGACAGCCCTTTGTTATTACCTTGGCTTTGGTGTGATGAGAGATGAGGATAGGGCTTGGCAACTTTTGCGGCAAAGCAGCCACGAGCTCCAGACTATGCAGGATATAATTACTCATCCGCACCAAATCAGCGGCTCATTCAGATCCTCTCTAATATCCAATCTGACGGTAAGAGGGCAAATGCCTGCGTCAGACTTCGGCTATATCTACCTTAACCAGGGAAGAATGGGCGAAGCAGAAGCGCAGCTTACACGGGACATGGATAATTTGACAAGCGTTTATACTGCCGAGCACGACCTTGCAATTCTGTCAAGAATTATGTTAACAGACCTTTACATATTTCAAGGACGATGGGAAGAGGCTGAGAAGCTCCAGGTGCAGGTGATGGAAACAATGAAGCCGACGCTTGGGGAAGATCATCCTGACACGCTGACCAGCATGGTTGAACTGGCATTGACATACAGGAACCAGGGCCGGCTGGAGGAGGCAGAGACGCTTCAGCTGCATCTGATGGAGATGCGCAAGACAAAGCTTGGAGAAGACCATCCTGACACGCTAGCTGGCATGGCCAACCTGGCATCGACATATAGAAGCCAGGGCCGATGGGATGAGGCAGAGAAGCTTGAGGTGCAGGTGATGGAGAGAAGAACGATGAGGCTTGGAGCGGACCATCCCG